CTCTCTCACCAAGAAGCTCCGTGTAAATCTGATATTCTCCCTCGAGTGCACTATACGGTATTTACTGTCCGCTTTGGTGGCAGGAAAAAGCTCATTCGCTTTCCACTTTCTCTTCCCTCCGGGGCTGACTCTCCGATCAAGGCAGATGGGGTATCGGTGGCAGGAGAGGGGTGCGGGCGGGAGGGGGTTCGCTCTCCTCAGGAAGCTTCATCAACTCCTAACGTCCAGATGAGTGTGTCGAGTGAGAGAGTATAAATGCTTCACCCTTAGACTCGGTACTTGCCGAGATAGGAGTGGAGAGGCAGATAAGAGGTGAGTGAGGACCCCCTCACTCCGTGGCTCTTGAGGGGGCATCTGGTAAAACTGGGAAGGGGCAGCTTCAAAACAGAGGGGCCGAGGTAACCTTTCACAGTGTGGTGGAGGGCGTTCAAGCCGTTGGAGCTCATCAGGCGCTGTGGGCACATGCTGTTCTGGCTTGGATTTTTGTGTTCAGAAAGCATCTGGGTGAACTCATGGGAGAAATCTGAAGATTTTAAACAGAGATATGCTGTCTTTGGCTCACAGAGCCCCTCAGCGCTACGTTGCCAGCAGCTGGAAGAATTCCTGGGAAAGCACCACTGTATCTGCCTTGTTCGTATGCTCTTTCTAGGTGTCTGCACCCAAGCCCTGCTCCTGTTATTTCTTCCACTCAGGGGTGGGCTGATGTCACTAAGAAACCTGAAAACACTCCTCAAGACACTTGGTATGAGAGACCTGGGATGTCACCTGTGACTATCACACTCATGCTTTTAAGAGGCAGTTGTATGGTTACTCACAGAACAGAAACATTACCAGTATTCTATGTTGAGAGAAAAGCTGACTCAAAAGCGGCTCCTCATTAGCTACATTTTCATTGTTTCTCAGATAAACCTAGACTAGCGTTTATCTTTGAGTCACAGGTTTTGCTCTCTCTTCTTACTGCTTTTAAATTACTTGTTGGTTCAGTTCTGGACTCGACTGATAAAGAATAGCTTAGGACAAAATGCGGCTGCTCCCTATGCCCTTAATGTTCATGCAATATCTTCACACAGTTGCAAAGAATTGTTTTCAATGTGCTTAAATACTTTCTTTAGAAATAAGATGATCTGTTATAAACATTGTATTCAATTTCTGTTCTGTTGGGGACCGGAAAATTTACAAGCAATGAAAAGTGTGGTTTTAACTTACAAGAGAATTGAAAATAAAAGAACTACAGTGTATGAGATGCATTAATTTTCTATAACAGTGTTTAAACTTATTCTATTTAAGGAGCAAAATCAAATCTCTCAGCTATTATGCTTTCTTGGTTTACCTTGAAACACAATTAACTTTTATATGACGGGGGCATGTATAAGTACAAAATTGTCAAGTTAATCTGAGAACAAAAAAAGATTATAACTTTATTTGACCTTCCTTTCTCTTACCTACCACCCCATCCTCTAACATTTCTTCTAAAGCTTGTAGAAGCAATTAGATGTTGACATTCAACTGCACCACAGGGGTCTCAAAACAAAATTTTCATTGTAAATACTTTGTATTTTGGTCTTTACTTGACCACTGCCTACACATTCAGATCTCTGGTGAATTTCTGGGGTACTTTAAGCTTACTGACAAACTTACACAGGTGAAAAAGCTTTCACTGGATTTCACAGAAATTAAGCAATTTCTGTTGCTTGAGGAAGCAATGCAGCAGGGAAATCCAGCCGTAAGAGAAAAACCCTGTTAGCTGCTCATAGCCAATGTACTGCTGTTGGTCACACTGCTCTGCACAAGTGCGATGTTACCCTTCTCGACAGTTTCTGGTGTCATTTATTAGCAATATCATGTAAACCCAACCAAGGCTGGGGGACTCACTCGTCTAGATCCTGTAATGGACAGCTGCCACGTGTATCTTTTCTACTCTTAACTGTAAGCCCAGGAAGTTAGAAAGAAGGAAATGTTTCAGGTTTACTGCTGCAGAGACCTACCTTCATTTTTACTACTGTCTCAGGATACTGAGGTAGAAAACATAGTGATTACCATATAACTTCAATACGGAGAGTCAAAATAGATTATGGGCTGCTTCTTTCGGAAAGAGACACTAGAATGTAGAGTCTGAATGATATTTCTCAGCAGATGGAAACTCAGGGGCACTGAATGAAATTACCAGGCAGCAGATCTGCAATGAACGCAGTGACATTTCCTTTCATGGTACATGTCATTTACATGTGGAACTGCTGTGGTGTATTATGGCTTAACGTATGAGAGAGTTCCAAACGTAATTAGGCAAAGTAAAAGGCAAACAGGTATTGAACAGTGTTTTGAGTCAAGCGAACAAGATTCTATAGATCCCACAAGTCTAGTAAAGCTCACATTTAATAGGACTTATGTATGAAAAATGGAGGGTTACTTTGTACAGCAAATATGTATATAGTCTGTTCGTTACGTTTAAAATCTCTTATCAAATTAAATAGTATGTTGTTCTGATGAAGTCTGTCTTGTGCCCGTTTACCACTCTTTTTTTTTCCTGGAAAGAAGAAAATTGCCAATACAGAGTACAAGTGAGGCCTGCTGTGGCAATACCATTTTGCAGTTCATGCCCTGACACTGTCCACTTTACTTGGGCATAGTAACAGGATGCCACCCCATCTTTTTCTGTGGAAACACAAAAAGCAAGGAGTACTGATACTCATGCTTGCTTGTTCACACGCACTCAGATAAAACAGTTCAAAGGAAGATGATCAGATGATGAAAGGCTCTGCCTAGAAGTCTAAAACTTTTCAAAACTCTGTTAGGTAGTGAAGATGATGGTACTTAGTAAATTTTTAGATGTTCAGAAATTAGGTAATGTATCAGAATATTATAATTGTGGTGGATCTCATTATCATAACTCTATTTTTATCCTGATCTAATGTAAGAATTAAAGGCTTGTGTAGTCAGTTCAGAGAGAGGGCAGACCCAGGATTAATATTGCTGCTCCTCTTCATGTTTCCTGGTTCCTGCTGC